TATACGTTCTACGAGTATCATTATTTTTTTTGAAATATAATAATATATTCTGGGCTTTTCAATTTATCGTCAAGTTATTTTATTGAACGGAAGTGTGATAATAAGTCTCAGAGTTAATATCTGCATATCATATTATGTTTTCCATCGTAAACTTTTCGTATTATTCCCATGCAAATAGCTATCATAATAATATACATTACTAAGATAATAATCTGATTGCATAACATTTTCTTATATAGAATTATAATTTATTATCTTAATGTCTGTAGATATTTATTTTATGCTGCAAAAGTAATAATACTAATAACATATTTTATATGTTATATTTTGTGTGGTAGGTTACATCTAATACGCAGTGTGTTCTACATCAGGTATTTCGAAATCTTATCGTTTTACGTGATTTTTGATTATTTGTTTACCAACCAATAAATTTCAGAAAAATAAGATATTTTTGTTGTTGTATGTTTGTTGTTACTACACTGCTGCAGTTCGTTCAATGTGTGACACCAATGACAACAACAACAACAACAACAACGAAAATAACAACGATACACGAGTGTAACAATAAAGCATGTCAATGTTGGCATCCTGCTAAAGCGGAGGGTAGAATTTCTGGATAGAATTCCGAGAAAATGATTCCTAGTCGAAGTCACCACATGACGATGATACTGACGTGTTCACCTAATAGCCATCACGATCATTTTAGCACGAAGCCGGTCGACATCCCGGGGCTCGTATAATAAAATGATGGTATAAATATGTTCTTAGGAGTGTCCGCATTCAGCATCAGCTGCCTGTACCGGTTCTCAGCGGAGACTTGCCCACATTCCATGCGCGTGCGTGAGGGGCTCACCGGCAACCGGTTCCATCTGTGCCCCATAATTGTTTCTGTAGGACGTCAACCAAGGTCACGTTTAGTAGCACATCGTGTGTGCGCGTTTTTATAAAAAAGGTAGGTATACCTACTCGAGAGGAAAGGACGAAAGAAAAAGCCGCCAGGGAATATTATCACTTCGGAGGTATTTTTTTTTTATTTTCCTTCGATCGCCGTCTACGAACGCGATATTTCTCTTTTTGTTTTAGCGGCCGATAGAAAGTGGTTGTGCACAGCGCCTGTTGCAGTGTGAGATTCGTGATTTCACACTATTTGTCTGGTTAAATGTGCACTAATAACGGTTTTGTTTTTTCTCAAAGTGTCTGGGAAAACAATAATAATGATAATATAAGTTATGACTATACATAACAATAATAACTGAAAAACAACATCATATTAATATAGATTTTACTTTGTGTTTGAAATAAAAAATAAACCCAACGAAAGTGTTTATCATAAACATTGTATTCACAGTAGCTTTGACTGTCCAAAAAATTCAAAAACCAATTAACTAGTGTATCAATTAAATTTTACTACCTAGACTTTTCACATGTTAAAACGAGTGACCCACGTATTCAATAGAAAAATGAACAATGAACAATTTATTATTCAAATAGTGTTATAATAAACTCTTACAGTTTATAATAATATTTTATCTTACATAATTATGTATAATATGTTGCGTGTATACTTAGTACTTACTATGTATGCAAATGCATAATATCACTTAGGTATATATGATGATTACTTAAAAGTTTATTTTCAATACAATATTCAATTGTGGTAGGTCAAAATTTATGTTGGAAAAACTTAATTTTTTCATCGAATCTAATTCGATTTGGCCGGAACAAGATTTTTTTACAACCATGAATTAATTTATAGAAAAACCTGTCCAAGAATATAGTAATTTTTTTTTATGTACCGGGAAATACGAAAAATAACTAATTATATTCATCATATTATGCTGTTCAAAATATATTGAATAGTCGAGGACATTAATTATATTTGTAAACAGTAATAACAACAATATAAACTGTGTAAATTGTAGTCTTCCAAATTACCGTATTTGCGAGTGGGTTGCTCGTATAACGAAAATTATAGACGAGATCACTATACTTGGCCACATGATCGATTTATCGAACCTCTCTAGCCTCTACAATAGATGTGTCATCGACTCATCGTGTGTAGTATTTAACGAATTAAAACTAGGTAGTTAGTATAGGTACCCATCTAATACCATCGTCGGTAACTGGTCCGACATTCGACGCGCTTCGGACCTCACAGTAAAACAGCGTAAACACGGCATATTTGCGAAACGGACTATAATATACAATGCAGCAGAGATAGTGGCGAGAATAATACATTGTAATTAACAAGTATGTCAAAGGAATACTCGGCGTTGCAGCAAGTCCTCCTGCGAGAGAGTGAAAAGCGCATACAATGAATTATCGTCCAACTCGGATGGTATTATTATATAATATTAAATAGATGCTAGCCACTATGGTGCCGGGTTGCATGAAAATTGTGTTGATCCAATGGGCCAGTAAAACATGTTTAAGGGGCTTTTAGCTCGCTATTGATTCGTTGGATGTTTAAAGATTGTTCATGCGACCCGGCATAGGTACGTCAAAAATATTATCCTCAGTGTAAACAGCAAATCGACTTTAGTTCGAAATAACAGGCGTCCATAGTAATAATATGTAACTCGTGTTTGATCATCACGGTCTTGGCTAACGATGATGATATTATTATTCAATCGTCAGAGTTGGGCTTTCGAATGATTGCATATTAATTATTATTATAATATTGTTGAGATGTGCGGTGGAAATAAATTCTCAAACCAGTATAGAGGTGACCGCGCTAGTCTTGACGTCCTTCCGCAGTTTTTATTCCTTCGCGCAGCAAACCAACAGCAATAATCTAAAAAATTTAAAATTTAATAAGCTACCGGTTTGCATTAAAATCGAATCGCCCATACGGTACCAACATTATATTGCTATTAACCCGGTATTATACCTACATTCCTATTCCCGATGAAATCATACAAATACGCTGCAAATGCGGTAAATTTGAATTCATATTCTAATTATTTTGACGTGACGTTTAAAATAGCCAATAGCTATAGAATAGACAGATGACAATATTTACCGTCCACGAAGTTTTCTAATGCTGCCACTGCTTATTTTTTTTTTTTTGAAAATAATAATCAATTATCGTAGGTACATAAAATAGAATTTCTCTCTGCGACTTAATGACAAATAAAAAAAAAATCAAAGACGTGGTTCTGGACTTCCCTCTATTCCTAACTCTTATCTTATCGTTATTACAAAAAATATCGATTCCTATTGTTCTCCATCAGATTCATTGCATCGACTTTTCAATGTTGCGAGTCGTTCTTACGTATTACAGTTATGAAAAAGTATCGTTGAATAAGTACCAATCCGTTTGAAATTACGGATGCCTACAATCGTAATATATCTATTATTACGTATTGACTTATCTGTTATTGAATTGATTAAGCATATTTATACAAGCCCAATCATCTTCATAAAGGTAATAATTTAAATTAATTGCAGCTACACATTTTTCATGTTCATTTTTCAAAAATGAATACTGTAAAATCTAAATAATTATCTATAACTGCGTTTATACGACCACATTATAATTTTGATTCGCCTATAAAAATATTGAGATGATAATATGAAATTGGACAACCCTTCACTAATATATGTACATGTATTATTAAATATTTTAAATAATAACATTTGTGATAGTGACCTTGCTCAGTATTTAAATATTCAATCTAATAAATTTCATTATTTATACACCTCTAATGTTCAACATTAAGTTGAGAATAATCCTAAATATATTTGGCAGTATTTTAATATTGCAGAAAAATCGACTTCCCAATTATAAGTTTTTTCAATGTTATATATCTACGATAAGGAAGTGAATAATATTATTGTAAATACTATTATTAATTTTAATTTATTTTTAAAAATATATCGTGTTTTCCAATTCGTATAATTTAAAGTGATATACTGCCAAACAATGATGATTCTCATGGTTTTATTTTAAATCCTACTAGGTAACATTATAACAAGAATTAACCAAAAAGTACCATAGTTTAATACCTACTACCTATTTAACTATCATTCTTCCTGTTGAATATTCGATTTTTTTTTAGATTTTAAATTTCTAGTAGCACCAGTGTAGATATTTAAATTAATAATTCTGTATGTGCGATTAAGTGGTAAACGTTTTTTTTTTCGATAAGTTAATAACAAACGTATTCCTTTTTCCTTATTCATAAAACAAATTATACTTAAATAATGCATGATATCAGGATAAGACATTCTATGAATACGAATTACTTATATTATTGTACAATGAAATAGGAAAACATTTATTGAACTACTATAGGTTAAATTAAGTATGAAAATAAAAATATAGCGGTTTGTTTCTACTCTTACAATTCGATACCTACCATAATTCATATAGCTATTTCAATATTTATCGAGAACAATGAGAAACCCGTACTTATTTAATGAATATTGTTGAATTATAATTAAATTACTTTCAACTTTAACCCATATTGGAAAGGAAGGTTAGATCCTAAACATAATATCACAATAAAACTAAAGAAACAAAATTTGCGTTACTCAATGTATGAATGATATGGATAATTAATCGAATAAGAATCTACTTTATTTATCAATTTATTTTATTTGTTGAATGCACAAATGCATTGGAAATCAAAAAAAGTAGAAGATGAATAGTGCTCCAATATCGTTGTATAAAATAACGATATATTCACAATAACAATAGTTATAGCTTGGTGAGGTGCGGTCGTACTCTCAATCTGTGTAAACGTTCTGAATGTAAGTACAGGCCGCGGTTGCTAGTTCCCGAATGGGTGACCACCCGGGGTTTTTAGCAACACATCCTTGCCACATATAAACAAACACGTGTTACCCTCCTACCAACATAAAAACCTACTAAACATAGACAAAAAAACCCTAACGCACCATCCCACACCCAATAGCCTTTGATGCTTTGGGTTCCCCCTAGTAAAAAATAAATAAATAAAATAGTTTTATTTACAATATTATTAATTTGTTTTCAGTTGAAACCTATTTGAGTCCTGTCGAAACACATTGTATGAATGTCGATTATTTCTTCTTGGACCCGGAAAATCATACACATGAGTTTTCTGAAGACGCCATGACCAGATTGCGTATGTTTGCACAAATTACAGTTATTGACAATCGCTTACAGTTTAAAAAATTAATTCACTTATTCTTGTTTAGACATGGGCCGATCAACAATTGCCTTATTCATAGTGAGCTTTTTCGTAATGTTTATCGCTTTTTGGACCGGAGTCGCGGGTTGCTGGAGAAGATCGCCCGGTAATATCACGGCAACTGCAATTTTAGTGCTATTGGCATGTGAGTAATACATATTGTTAATTAGTTGTTGCATAGAAATTAACAAAAATGTTGTGAATATGACTCATACTATTTTCTTTTCAGGCCTACTTAGCGCTGGCGCTATGGGATTCTGGCACGGTGTGGAATACTATGAAAAGGAACGTGTAGTAGGAGACGAGTTTTACCAGCAGTGGAATAGCGTAAGTAAATGGCTTAACTATTTCGCACAGAGTGATTCACTAAGCATGCACACCCATTTTTTAAAAATTTATTCAATTTCTGAATTTGGAACTTTTAAAAATACCTACTTAAGATCTGTATTTATAAATAGGTATTTCATTTTTTATACCATTTATGGAGTGTTCTGTGGTGTCGTGGTGATACCAAAATCTGTATTCTTTGATTGAGAATATCCGTTTATTCCTGTAAATTGTTAATCATATGAATATTTTTTAAATTTTGATGTTATATCTTATCAACATTTGAACTAGTAGTTACGATATGGGCGATATGGCCATATGAATTATTTGACTTAGTGTCATAAGGACGATGATTACGGTTTTTGAAAGACACAGGGGATATGATGATTTAGAATATTAGTAACACATTAATAAAATATCCATCAACATTAATAATTTGTTAAAAAATGGCCCAAGTTGAATAAATGATAGATTCAATGTGACTTATATTAAGGAGTTTCATCCTTAGTAGGTATATATTGTATGTATATTAATTGCTCAGATGCTACTCGTTCTAATTTTGATTTAAAAACATCAAAATTATCAGAAAAGTCATCTGCTTAATAGTTAACAGTAAAAAAGGTTGATTCTCATTTGACAAAAAAAAAAAGATTGTATTGCCATACTACACTCCATAAATGGTATAAGAAATATATATGATTAAAAATATGTTCCTAAAAATTTACTGAACAATTTAAAAAATCAGAATTTATATTCAATATCGAAGAAAAAATTGAGGGTGCATGTTTGATGAATCATTCTATATATTGTACCGATGCATTTCTACAGCAATTATCCGTGCTAAAGAATTCATCATAGGTATATAATTATTATGGACAGGTATTTTAATTACATACTGCTTAAATTTAATCTTTTCACTTAAATTTTTCATTTAAATTTTGATTACATATTATTATTATTTATCACGCTTATATTTAATCGATTGTTGTTATCATGTTTATTGCAGATCCTTAAGGACAATACGCGTATATCTTACGATTGGTCGTTCTTCATGGCGTGGACTGGCGTTGCATTTTCTTTGGTGTCTGCTATACTATTTTCCGGCGCCGCAATCTGTCTACGAGGCGAACGCGAGAGAGAAGAGGCTCTCAACATGCAATACTTAATGCCTGGTTAGTATTAAATAATATGTTATGGTATTTAACAAGTGCCAATGAAGGAGCTAATTTATTGCTGTTGAGCATTTATTCTCCGAAGGACATTAAATCGTCAAACGCTTTTTGTGAACGTGGACGGGAACATTTCAATATTAATATAAGTGCCCATTTCATGTTTAGCACCAGGGGGAAATCACATTTAACTACCATTAAAATAATTTAATATGACAGTATGATTTTCTGTGTTCCACTGCTGTGAATATATTTTTATATGTTCACAGATTGATGTTGCATTGAATAAATTACTGATCATTACAATTATTAGGGGTGGAAAATATCTTGATTATAATTATGTAATAATATTATTTTTTCAAATATTGCATAAATCAAGTGACCAGCGCTCAATTTGGTGTTGGTGCCTCATATATAATACTAGTCTAAAGAATAAATACTCAGTGATACAATGTGTTTGAGTGAAGAATAAATGTTTAATAGTGTACAAACTTATCTTATAAATATCAAGGGCACTGTGTGAACTAATAGAAAACTAATGGAACTTAGTTCACAATTATTTAAAGTAAAGCGGGTATTCAATAATAGGAAAATAGTGTAGCATGAAAATAATAATGAAATTAGATGGATCGTGTACACATTAACCTTGGACCGAAAATTAACCCGAACTTTTTCAAACACGTTGCGTCACGAAACTTGACCCACCTCTATAGTATTTTAAGCTAATATAGCACTCGTGAACATTAAATCATTAATTTGTTTTTTATGATACGCCTATTAAAAAACCATATGGTACTTTGACTGTGTGCACGTACTAAATACCAATGGATGATAATTATTTTTCATATTTTACAGTATACCCACAAAAACAACAATATGCTTACGCTGGATACCCGACACCAAATTCGTATCCATCGGGACCCTACTACCATGGACAACAACAACAACAACAACAACAACCACAATACGCCGGCCACTACAATTACTAGGCAAATCGTTGTATAAGCTGGACCAGTCAGTTTAAATTATACATTTTTTTGTCCAGCCAATTTATTATATACATTCGACAAAAAAAAAAACAGAAGACGTATAGTTATATATACTCTATACCTTTGTAAAATTGGCTGAACATTATAAATACTATTGTTTTACGACCGCACATTTCATTGAGATTTTTTATGAATACTTACAATTTGTGTGATCTTAAAACAATAACTCGTAACTATAATTTATAAATACGTTTCTATAAGCTCATATATTATTATACTTGACAGAATATTCCACCTAAGTTGCTCAAAAAAAAAAAAAAAATAATAATACATATATTTTTAACTAATATAATGTTATATCTGTTTGAACTTAGTACTAAGGAATTTTTTTATTTTACAATTATTACTTTATTTTGTACAATTTTTATTTATGCATCATCATTGTATATTTATTGAAGTCCATGTACCTACGCATTTTTAGGTCTAATAAAATAATTTTTGAATGTTTAGTTTGTAATAAGTACTAATAATCTGAACTATATTAAATACAATTTTAGAAAATTGACATGGATATAAACATAAACGAATTGATTCGTCCGAGTTAGAACAATTTTAAGGATCTCCAGTCTTTTTATTATTATTATTTAAAAAAATTGTTTGTTTGTGTTTTTAAACATTATGAGTTTGCCATACACAGATACTACGTTAAATTCGTTGGAATCCGGCAATTAATTCACAATAACATGTAATTAATAATATTTTCCAATAATGTAATATTGTATACAATTTTTTCTATGACATGATTATTATAATTTGATATATATTCTAATATTTTAAGAAATATTGGTGAGATGTACATTTTCATTTATTTTAAATAAATCATTCTTCAGACCACCATACACGTCCATTTGGTTATTAATTATTATATTTATGAGAGTTTGAGCATAATTAAAAAAGAACGAATGTCAAATACATTTTGCAGTGCAACTATATTCATGTAGACATGTATTGAAATGTGAATGGCGAATATATATTTTGGCGTTAACGAAAAGACACCAGAGTTGAAAATATCCATCACTTTTGTCCAAAAAAGTTAATGGTATAATTTAATAATCATCATTAATTGGATGAATATAATATACTGTGTCAACAATTAATGGCAATTCATTTCCCTACATTTTTATAAAACGAATAATGCAGAAACTTGATCGGCTCAAGTAATTTGGTATCACCTTTTCAATGATTTTAATCAACGAAGTTTTTCATTAAACCAATAATGCAATATTTTGTATAAACATATTGCTATGCACAATGTATAATCATTTTTAATAGCTGAAATATTATCTTTGTTTGGATGAATAATTAAAAATTTGATTCTCATCGCTATAAGGATATATTATTACACAAAAGTTACGATTTATAAAATAAAAAGAGATTATGTACAAATTATTATAATATTATGTATATAATATATAAAAAAAAACCATATAAATAATGTTGTTTAACTAATAAAGTAAGGTTTTAGCATTTTCACAGTCGTACAAAAAAATTAAAGTCGAGGAAATCAAAACATTTATGTTTGCATTATATCTATGCATAGGTGGTAATGATTAATGAAATCATGTTATGACTTTCGCCTCGTTGATCATCAAGTATGTTTCTAGATCTTTAGCACTGCACAGTGGCGTGTCGACTTTGAACACTTCGTGGAACTGCGAGTAGTCGACTTCGTACATCAACTTCGTCTTGCAATATTTGACCAACGGGCGAAACCTGTGACCCCATAAGACTTCCGACGCCGTGTACGATGTCCGCGCCTGCGTAGTCTGCCCCGTAGACTCAGTGGTGCCCTCCAGGACTACGATCACTTCGAATCTCTCGTTCAACAGGTCCGCCGCGCTCAGTCCGTACAGAGGACTGTCCTGGTCGATTTTATGTACGGCTACGGTAGGCCACATTAGGAATACGCGTTCGTCGTGGTCGTCAATGTTTATCTGAAATAGAAATGCTCTTTTAATGATAAAATATGACAAAAACTGCCCGTCGATGACGCCACTGGTGCTGGGGAGGGCTGAGCCTCCAACTTTTTCCTTCACTTTTTATAAACCAATAATTGTAATGAATTAACATGTTTGTGTTAAAAAATATTCATGAATGTTTCAACGATATTAAAATATTTCTCAGAATTCCTATTTTCTGTATTTTTATAAAAAATATGTGTTTGATAAATGTATACTTTTAGTATCGTCTGTATTGTCTTATCAATAACTGTAATCAGCCTCACCATAAAATATGTATTCTATCATCTGCTGTTGTTCGTGACCGCAAAGGAATAAAGAAAACATTGCTGCGGTTTTATCAAAGTAATTTTAATTATTAGTTTATGTCATATTGTTTGTATGGTATTTTTATTTCATATCGAAAGTCTAAAAAAACATCCAATATTAGAAGTAATATGATATAACTTACGTTTTGTAAATTTCAAATATTTCTCTATTAAGTATTAACCATAAGGCATATCCTAGAATGCTAATTATTTTTCAAAAAGAGAATTACATAGAAGTTGCTACATAGTCATATTATAAGTATAATACACGATACACTTAGAAAATATAAAAATTTAAAGACCACCACGAACATAGTTAAATGTAGAATATTGTAGATAATATAATAAAAATTATTTATATTTAATTTTGTTATTTTAATACAAATAAAAATGTATTCTTATACCTTAGTGAACCATTATATCAATCATTTTTTTTTTATGTAACTTGGCACTAATCGTTAATAAGAAATCACAAAAACTGATCTTTTCCCATCAAAATGTCATGAAGAAAAAGAAAGTCTACATATTGCATTCTTAGTTGTTTATATTTTAAGTCTTGTGCTGCATTGTATCTATATCTACTGCTGTAACCTATATCTACTGCTGTAACTTATATCTATATGTCTGGTAGTTATTTAAAAATGCGAAACAAATTATATATTATACAGTTATACTCGTCTGTAAAGCTTGCATATTGACATATTATGAATGTGAGAAAAGCCTACTGCAAAAAGTACCAAAAGTTAACTACTTACACGATTTTAGGTACCAAGCAATGTGGACTGTTGAAGGTATAAGGTTATTAATTTTTAGTAATATTTTATGAGTTTATCCACTGCTGTACTAAAACTAAATAGCGCTGTTTAGTTATATTATTGACGCTCAAAGATGAGTGTTCGAAACAAATAAACAGCTGAACATTTGATTTTCTTATGGTAACAATATTAACCGGTTTATTAATTTCATTTTCTCACTTTCAAATACGTAACGTGTGGCGATAACGTCTCTCCTTCCGGCGTCACTCGAGATCGTATAAGTCTGGTCTGGATGGTGGTGCCGATGAGATGCGACTTTTCCCTCATGTCGCCAACTCTGAACATAAGACACAGCTGTCCGTCCCTTCGGCATATCACCGCGTTCTTGCTGAACATGATCGTTTGGCTGCGTTGTTTCGGACGTGCCATTTTCGTGAACACTATGCCCACCATGAAAGCCTGCGAATAAAAATATATGCCTTTGAAATACCGATCGGTTTTTTCGTCAGCGCCAAAGCGTGTAATGAAATGTTAGGTTAGGTTAGGTTAGGTAATAACTTTATTTTAACTGAGCTGAGTTAAGATTATTCTGTATTATCTTTAAACGTTTAGAGTCATTCAACTTCAACACAATTTACAAATTTATTATTTTATAATGATCTAAACAGAATCTTTTATAAAGAATTAAAACCAATAGGTTCAATCTACATATTAAAATAAATAAAATTAATGATAACCAAAAATTGCTATCTCATATTAATTATGTCAACTACATATGCAATAATAATATGTTAGTACAATAATATTAATTATTGTACATTTAGGAATTTTATTTCCCGATAAATAGACATTTAATTCAGAATGCAATATTTCCAACTAAGAAAACATATGTTCAGAACCGAAAGGTCCTATTTGTAGAAATTTAACTAATTCTAAATTGAAATTGTTTACGTTATCGATTTGTTTTGAAAAATCTAAATTGCAAAGACTAACGTGGAACAACTAGTTAATATTTAGGTTTGACAATCATTAAACGTCATTCATTACGTGAAAATATAATATGTATAACAGTTTGGTGTTTAAAATATTGTTATTTTGAGATAGCACCTTTTGGTTCTGAGTCTACGGATCTAGGTCATCATCCTGAGTTTGGTTGTTTTTATTCAAATAAATTTTGTATTTCGGGCTGGATATAAAGTTTAACCGAAATAGAATTTATTTTTTTTCGAAAACTCAAAACCACTAAACATCAATACCAATAATATTATCGTATATGACACATAGGAATATTATCTGTGTAGAAAATCAAAACCGTAACGGTTGCTGATACGCTGAACGAATCGTTTATAAGCGAATAACGTACTTGGATCATCAAACCGGCGATGCTCTGGAAACAGAAAAACACTATGGCCTCGTGACATTCTTCTGTGACCATCCGGTAACCGAACCCCGTGGTGTGCTGAGTCTCCACGCTGAACAAGAAACTGGCCATAAACGTTTTCATGTTGATCACGCATGGCGACCACGCCGGGTTGTCGATGTTCTCGGGCGTCAGGTCACCGTGAGTGAAGGCGATTAGGTACCAGATGATGCCGAAAGCGAGCCAACTGAGCAAGAAACTCAGGACGAACACGCACAGGGTCCACCGCCATCTTGCGTCCACCAGCGTGGTGAACAGGTCCTGCATGTACCGCCGTCGAAGTTTCGAAACGTTTTCCAGGACGATATTGCACTCGCCATTCTTGTACAGCGCCCTCCGTTTGGCCTTCCGGTACACCGACGGCGACGATAGATGCGACTTTCTTGAACTGAAACAATTCCGGAATTTCGGACGATTATAAATTGTAATAATGGTTTCAATTTACAGCCGGCAAGTCAAAAATGTCTTCATGGTTATAACATAGCATCATTGGTATTAATCTCCATATGTCTTAGGCATACATATATCGACTAAAGGTAGGTACGATTTTGGGCCAACACAACGGAGAGAGAAACTATAATAGGATTCTCAATCGCACAGAAGCTTCTGATCAGCGTAAAAAAAACCGACATTTAAACAATTCGAGTGAAAAGAAATGCAACGGTGTTGTGGTAAACAATAGGGTATCCGTGGTTGTATTGGCTTATACAGATTTGTATGCCACATTAATATAAGTTCAATATCAATGTGAATTATAATACAGTGAAACTTTCATTTAACGAAATGTTCTATTCAACATAATATTTTTGAGAACAAAACCAAATTAGAATCAAACTAACATAATTATTATACTTAACGAATTTCTCTACAATACTACTTTTTTCCGTTGCCACGAGACTTAGTGATATGAAAGTTTCACTGTATTATATTCTACATTATCGTAGAATATCGATCACACCTATCATCGGGATTGTCACAGTTGAAGCAGTTGTCTTGCCCGAAAATAATATCACACATAACTCGCACCAGGTATTTATTTCGTCCAGAATATTATTATTATTAACACGACACACTATTCGCCATATGTGTCTATCAGCAAACTAACAGTGTTTTGAATATAATGTGATAGATTAATGTCTGCGGTCGTAACTAAATAATATAAGATATATTGCTATGATTTCATTGGTCAACAAATTAATAACTAATGTTGCTCGCATTATAATATTATGCATAATAATTACTAATATTTCTAAATATCAGTTTAATTGTTTTATAATTACATTAAGCTGAATAAGACCTATGAGCATATTATATTTGTTTTAAATTTAATTAGCAAAATAAGTGTGTCGGGTTTGAAATTAAAAAAAAAAAGAACAGTATTAAAATATATTTGAACGACTGAAATTTACCGAATTAGGATAGCATTTTTAAAATATTACTATACATAACAGAGTTACCCATTGGAGGTATATGATAAAAATGAAATGATTTTTATATATTGGTTGGGGGAAAAAGAAAAAGCGCTTGAAAATGTTTTTGTATAAAGCAGAAACTCATCATATCTACCTACGCCGCATGCAAATATACAAATAATATGTACAGCCCATAGGCACTTAGTCGAAGTAAAATTTAAGATAATTTTGAATAAGATATAAAAAAGACTACCTATATTATTTTTTGATTTTAAATTTAAAAACGAACGGTTCAATGTGCAAAATCTAACATTGTGTATTATAACTTAAAATGTATTGGTTTGAAACGATCTAGAAAAAATCAAATCAATTTGTAATAACAATAATTTATACTTTTTTTATGTACTTTTTGAATTTATTACAAATCACATCGCATTACAACTTTACACTTCACTTTAAGTGGACTTAAAAGGCACAAAATATTTAATAATCATGGGATTTGGCGCATTGAATTATAGGCGTTACACTAGTAACATAATAATAATAATTGTAATATCGGTCATTCTGATAAAATATTTATATACCGTTACAATCGATCTCGTTTGTTTAACCGGTTAAAATGATAAGCAACTGATGGGTGTAACTGAGATTTATTTGCTTGGAATCTGCATTAGAATATGCATTCACTCGTCATTCTAATATTATCAATTGTTTACTTTTTTAATATTTACCCAAATTAATTACTTGTGTAATAATATTTTAGCATACTAAACCCATCGCCACATCATAATGTAATAATTTTAATTATTGGAATTATAATTATAATTTGATTAAATAATAACGTTCGAACTGTACCAAAGGATGATTTTAGTGTTTTTTCTTGTGGTTTTCGCCATGATTAATACCAGTTGAATGTTGTTACTATCATACAATTTGTGTGCCAATAATGACGTACATTGACAGTTACATTTAAACAAATTTAGACAGTGATTTAAAAAACAAGTAAATATGCGAGAAAAAACGATTATACAAAAGTATAAGTTTTAAAAAAAAAAAGTTTATACCTAATTTATTAAGAATTTATATGGTATATATGTTTTTAAAACTGTTATTTCACTAATTTAATTCGTACATTTACAATCTATAAAAACAATGAGTTTGTGTGATAGCTAATGAATAAAAAAAAACATGTTACTCAGAATTTTCCTTTTAAAGGATAACCATAAATTTGTTGGAATATAATTATTATAATTTATAAAGTATTTCAATTAACATTTATTACGTATATAATTTTGAGAATTAATTTCAGTAATTTCAGATTTCAATGATTTATTATTTGTTTTTATTCATATTTCGTAACTGCATATCATGTTATCATTTCTATAATCAACCTCCATACCTCTGTAATCTCCTGTGAGCTTCTCGATACCAACAAAATGCCTTTTTTTTTAACGTGTTATCAAGAACCGGGGATGGAACTGGTGTTGGCATTGCTGCTCCCCTAACCACCATCGTTCATTGTGCAAAAAAAAAAAAGTAGTTTCACACTAATAAGCATCCTGGGATGTGCCAGAATACTACAAGACGGACTTTTCTTAGCTCTAGGTATGTCTGCTTAAGATAGGTGCTCGATAGGCTTACCAAACAAAAAAGTCTAACTCACATATTTCAGAGGTGTCTTGACCTGCTAACCTAATTCAAAATGTATGTCGTGGTACCTCCAATGGGAGGCCTGTACATTCCGTTTTATATGACTTATGTTACTCTAAATTCTAAATTAGAATTATTGTTCTATTATCATAACAGATTAAAAAAAACTATTTAAAAAATTTTACATTTTTTAAAAAAGACTGCATATAAAATACTTATGGGTCGAATAATATTTTTTTTTAAAACCATATAGGTTAACTATCTCGGAAATTATTTTTGATGCATCGTCAATTAAAATCACTTGTTTCGTCATTATTAAACATCTAAGTATATTACTACAGAGAATAATTGAAACGATTGTACTCAAAAACATTTTAAATAGATTTAGTACAACTATTCACTACATATTTATTAGAGATAACACTTATAACTATAATATGAATAATTATAGTTATAAGCGTCATATAATAGTATTATAAATAATCGGTATACCTAATTCGGATAAACAAAATAATAATAGTAATAATATTAATAATAATAATAATAATAATTGATGTACACTAGTATAAGTGCCTACAGTGACGCATCTACGTATATGACGACACAGCTGATTTTATAGTACCTATCTATTTTAAACAATCCTAGCACTTCTACATTTTAATATTCGTCGTGTTTAGCAAGTGCAAATTATCACGATGATTTTTTAGTCACACCCTCGTGATATTTAGTGTTAATCTGAAATATCAGTAAAGTTAGGTACTGGATATTTAAAAGTTTATATTCATTATAAAGAAATAAAAACCCCCGGTGTTAACATTTTAACTTCTTTAATTATTTTTATTATAATATTTATATTTGTTATTATTTATTATTATTTATTATTTCTAGTATTATACCTATTTCACATAGAATAAAATAATATGAAATGTGATGCAAAATAGTGTTTGAGCCAATTTACATATGAACGAAATTCAAGGCAAGATGTTTCAATAACAAAATACGAATTATATTCACGAAACGTATAGGAATAATTATTATAGTTAGAATTTATTATTAAGTTTAGATGTCATAATGTCAGGGAACCTTTATAATTATATAATAATAGTAAAAAAAGAATTTATTGTTATTAAATTGTGATCTAGTACTTGTGTTTAGTTACTGAAATCGTGACCGGTTGTCCGTTGGCCAGGATTGCAGAATAGTCGACATTGGCGGCGACGGCTGCGTCAAGGTCGGGAGACAGCAGTGCGTCGTCGGATATCGAAGACAGCAGAAGGGCGTCATTTTGGTCGGCGTTGTGACGGTCATCGACGTTGCCGTTATATCCGGTATTGGACAGGTGCAACACGTTTGGCCGCTTGGCCCTATTGGTCACCTGCATTGACGATGGCGTTGCAGTGGGAGGTGGAAGTCTCGACGACGACGGCGGAGATGTGCTGTCCTGCAAGTCCATATTCCGTTCGGGTGCCATCTCATTCGGTTAAACTCCACTATTTTGGGTCACAAAAACCGTGCTGACATGAATCCTTTGCAGTAGGTAGTTATCATATGGTATAATGTGATGTGAGGTGGCTCAGTTAGTCAGTCTTGGATTTCACCTGAGACACAAAAAATTTCCTTGGTTAAAGGAGAGATCAATGTTTCAATTGTATTATACAAAGCGCAAACCGTTTATAAAAGTTTGGTAAAAAAATTCAGTAAACATTATTTTTTAAGCAAGAAACCAACAAGCATCGTTTTCGGCAGTTCCTAGGTACTCAATACAAGTAACGATTTGACTCTCGAGGTATGTGGAGATTAACTCTGCCCTCTCCTCCAAACAACACCTATACGGATGTCCAGCCAAAACTCTCCAGTAGTATTGGGAAAGTAAACTCTATATGGTTAACCGGAGATTTCAGTTTATTAGAGACAATTTCTAATTGAGTTAATTCAAGTTTATAGAAGACATTTTAAGAAGCTTAAAGTTAATAGTCATCCTAATTTTTTTTTAACTCAGTTAAGTTAAAAGTTTTATGGAAATTTACAATTAACTTATTGATTAAGTTTAATTATTTTTATATTTTTTTAAAGTTTATAAATAGCAAGTTTTATAGTTTAAAATAATAATATGTAAATTTTTATGCAATTCCTATCTATCATCAATAATGATTTTATTATATTTATTGTTTAATTATTTATAAATTAACGAAATTGGATTTGTTTAAATGTAACTTGTTATTTATTAAGTTTATATCAATAAAAATCAGTTAAATTAAAAATTCAGTAATGAAAGTTAAATTTTAAAAAGTTCAAATTAACTTAACTTTTAACTAAACTGTAACTTTTAAACTCTTTTATGTCCAGTCTCGAAGCTTGTAAATATTACATAATATTATATGTATAACTTAAAATGTGTTAATACTATGTATATTATTAAGCTGATCCATATAAGCATTATAGGTACTGAACAAATTCAAAAAATGTAAATATTAATTGCACTTACTCAATGAATTTTAAATAAAATTATGGATTGAGTTTATTGGCCCAACACTGCCAAACTGCCAGTAGATTACGACGCAGGTGGCTGTAGATAATCTCTCGTGCCATTAAGCGGAATTGTATAGATTATATTTTATAAATTAAAATAAACACCTACATAATCGTGTTATTAAATACGGTCTCTCGTCTACTACACCGTACCCGACTGGATAAAATACGATTATTCGATGTTTACCCGTATTAAACGAGTACCGACCTCGAAACAGATTGAAATTATTATACCCACGCAGGCTTGCTACGTTTTATTATTATTCATTTAATTTTGCAAACTCATTATTCAGAGAATGAGATTTTAGGAACAATGTTACCGTTTGACGTTTTTAGCCTGTACAACCCATTATAATGTTATAATATATAATTATGTGTTGATATTGAAATCTAAACTTTTTGACGTATTTATTTATTATTATATCGATTAATGAACGTTTATTATAGTATTATATTGCTGTAAAGCATGTTCCAAAGCAGCAGTATTTTGATCTATACCAATCAAACTGTATACAAGTGGGTAGTGTATTAATTAAGGGTAGATATTTAAAGTTTAGATGACCGTAGCAGTGGACCAACATTTTTCAGGGTACCCTTGTATTATTCTTTCACTTATTAACTTCAAATACTTATAAATCATAAGCTGCTCTTGTTAAATTAGATATTTATGAATCAAAGTACTCCAAAATATATTCTTCTTTGGAGTAATTAATTTAAAATGTACCTATGAAGTCAAAAAGTAAAATAAAAAAATAATTGTAAAGATAAAAATAGTAAAAGTCTATTTTTTTAGAAATATGTTTTTTAACCACTTCATATTAGGTAAGAATATATTTTCATCGGCATTAATAGTTTTTGAAATAATGAGTGTGTATGCAACAAATGGATCATCTAGTATAATAATATAACCTTGTGCATCTGCTGACCACAGAATTTTGTGTTTAATTACATTATTATTTCAAATTAATGACCTATCGTGTTTGAGATTTAAACTCGTAAAATCTAAGTACACATCCGTGTATACATTTTTTGTGCGGCCACAAAATAGAATGATTTAAAAACAATTCAATACAATTATTAATCTAATGAATTGAAAGCCCGGTGCATCAAATTGCATTATGAAGCCTATTAATTATACTGTATAGGTATACAGTCCATACGTTGGCGAATAATAATAACTAAAACACAATATAATTATTTGGTACGTGCCGCCTAAATGGCCTCGATCGTTGGGTCCGGCAATTAATCGCTGAATACCGGTCTGTAATTATAATTACGGTTTCCTGTACCAGTAAAAACGGTACATTGCCTCCAATGTTTAGTGTCATTGTATTGCTACTACATACATATTTAGATATTTATTATTGTTAAATTTTGTTCAACTTTCCAAAGTTAACTGTTAATGACAAACTACATTGCGACCTGCGAGCTAATTTATGTTTAAAATGTTATAAAATATAAAATATTTTTAGACACATTTTGAATTCAAAGTTCCATTGAACAGTTCAAAGACTCGAACGATAAAGCTGTACCTATAATAACCGTCTCATGTATCTTAAATAATTAGCGTACACTTCAATGCAACTTAAATACTTGTAAAAATTAAAATTGTTTTGTTAATAGTTATATAATATCGTGTTTATTTGATGTACGTATGAAACATCATTAAATTTTAATTTAATTGAAAATATAACAGGAATATTGTCTGACATCCGTGTAAACATTTATGTAAGTGATGTATTTTTGTTGTGTAGAAACTTAAAATGTTGGAGTATTTTTTATTGAAAGAACATTAGATATTATGTAACCATTTACTTGTCAATTTTCAAGTAGGGAAGTTGCCAGACCTCAACAAGTAAAGATATGCGAGATATAAATGTTTTGCTTATTAATTATTTATTTGGTGAGATATTCAAAAATGTATTATAGGCAGTATTCGTATAAATACCTGGTTGTTAGTGAGACAGTATAGGTATATGAGATTAAGAAATTAAAGTGAGCCGTCGCAAAAACATGAAATAGAATACAATAAATCATTAAAAATAATAAGTACTAATGACGTAAGATGTCCGAAAAACTAAAATAAATTATTAAGCTGGTGGTTTTTAATTTTTAATTCAAATAAAACTAACCTGTGTTTGATGCTGATTTACCATAGACCTTTACCATAGAATTTATTTTATCTTTCAAGTAAATCATTGAAATGAAAATTAAAAAACCACTGTTGTAGGAACATTAAAGTTTTGTTACAGAGCCGAAAAAGGTAATGTAAATGTAATAATAGTTATAAATTAAATTAAAAAAATTGTTAATTTTTTGAAAATGTTTATTCAGTACTTATAGCAGTTGGTACACAAAATTAATATTTATTTTATCCTACATCACAATGTACAAGATATTATAGCATAAACAGACACACCTTCGTTGTGTTTAATCCATATTGTTTATATGCCACTTTTATTACAACAAAATACAGTAGGTATATACGCATACTTAACAGTTAATAAATTATCTAAAAGATAGAAGTAATTTACCAAGGAAATAAAAAATGACAAGATAATTACTAATAAAACGAACAAGTAGGTACATAGACTGAATTTTGTAATTTTGTCAGAATCGAGAATGTATTTTATGTGTTGTTGATATACCGATTTATCCTATTTATTTTATTATTATGTTAATTTAAAACTGTCCTCGTAAATCAAATTATCTACATATACCCAATAATCAACAATATTATAGGCTATAGACTTTATCATCATCTTCAGTATTTTCAATTTAATTAATATAAGTCGATCAATATAGTTGACATAATTCGATCAATATTATCACTAGAGTTTAGCACCCATTAGTCTCCAGATTCCACATTCGGACAGAATGTTTGATAATATTATATTTATAAGGAATTGGTACATAGTCGACGCCTAAGAACGGCGGGTGCCACTTTTTAGTACGGTCAAACAATAACTTCGTTTCAAACGAATAACAAACCGAAATTATGAAAATGACAATAGAGAGGCACGTTAATTTGTATTACATACTTTGACACACGTCTGCAGCTGTTTTGTGTGGTTTGTCTTTACTTGTATTTAAATTGAAATTTTAGAGGGCGAATGTCGAAAGTAATGACATTCAAACGGTCCACAACTCTGCAAGTAGTAAAACCAGTGGAGAATAATATGTAAGTACTGCGTTTGAGAAATGTTGACTGTATAAGTTTAGTATAATATTGCACAAAATACAATTTTACATTTGAACAGTTGTTTTAAAATATCTGTTTGAATGAACTACGTGCATATTTTTATAGTCTCTTGCAAAATTCGTTATGCTTCATTTAGGCTTAGAATATCATAAATTCTATAATTCGAATATTTTATTGGCATGTAGGTACCCTACCTACTTTTTTAGTTTTTATGCGATAAATCATTTCAAGTGTATGATTTTAAATAAATCGAGATACTATTCGTACTAAAACAAAATTGCCCACAACACACGCGTTTCATTCAAAATAAATAATTGTTTGTATTTCATTATGAGTAAAATATCCATAATATAATAGCAAGTGATAGTACTTACATTTCAATTCACGTCATTGGTTTTACACAGAAAACGACGTTTAACATTTAAACTCAAGTTCTTTTACTCTGCATATTCAATTACGGGGACAATTTTTAAATGCATATAATTATTATCATTTGAACGCGGGAAACATTTTTCTTTTACGAATATAATAACATTATTTTATATTCACCAACAAATTACAATACGAGTAACAGTTAGTCGACCGGCAGAGGCACCTACGAACGGTGTTCGGAGTCGACGCGCGTGCCGACGATGAATGAATCAGAATGACTGAAACTAGTTATAGGCTTATTGCACACATTGGGACCTTGTATTTGTGTATGTGAATAATCACACTGTCTTAACGACGTCAATGCTTTTAATGGTTATCACAACATGTTATCACAGCCTAAGATTGCACTTATCTTTATGTATAGACGTTTAAATAAAACGTGTACCGATAGTATATTTTTATTCGTCCGTTAATTGATCACTTTTAAGTTTTATTGGTAGAAATTCGTCCTCAGATAAAACAATTATTATTACTGATATTTTTTTATCGAATAGGTACACCGAGAGTGTGTGGATCCAAAGCTGTTGGTATACCCATGTGGACAGTAGGCGTACTGTGCAACTGGAACAAAATTGAACCATGACTTAACAAAATAGCCTAAAAATGTATTTAACCACAACTAATCATGATAGATATTAAGTGAAAAAATCAATTTTAAAAAACCATTAGTTGTTTATCACTTTTAACAATACGAGATGGGACTTGTTATAATACTTTGTTCAAACAAACGCTTGAAGTGTACAATAAGAACAGCGAATACATATTAAATAATTTTATATCTAAAGTATGTTAGCGGTTTTTCTTTCTTTTTAACCATATTTGTACAAATATAATTAAATGACTTTTGTTAACAAAGTAAAAAAAATATTATTATACCAATAATATAATTAAACATTTTACATGGCTACATGACTATAGTCTATAGAGTACCTATAGATAATATTTTGTTCGGAAGAGAAAATAGGTATTGGTCATTATGCAGTATACATTAATATGAACTGATTTTTTCTATAGTAATTGTTTACATTGAATATGAAAACAAAATTAATTTTGTACTTAACCTAAAGGCAAATTTTAGCTATACAATTTAAACATATTATATAGAAGAGTAGTAGAATCAGCTGATGTTTTATTAAATGTAATTTATGTGAGTCCAGTCTTAAAATAAATAATTTCAATTGTTTAATTTTTTTTTTTAATCAGTATAAAATCTAAAAAATGCAATATTATGTTCTTGCAAAAACAGAAAAAAAAACAGTGCAAAATGTGTTAAAAATGTTTTTTTATTTTTATTTACCTCAGAAAAAATCTATTTTATGGGTACATAAATGCTATAATGTAACTGACATTTGGATGATTGTATTTATTTAATAATAAGAGCTAAAAACATAATATATATTATATTATTGTACAAATAGTAAAATAAGTAATCAGTATAACATGATATTCATATTAGAGATTGATGTACCTAACGCACTTATCTGATTAAAAATATGTGGTATTGAAAAAAAAACGATAATTTTACTAAACTATTTGTTATTACCACTTTGTCAGAGGCTTGTCTTAAACTAAACCAATTATATTTGATTTGAGTATTTAAATTTGATGAAACCTTACTTTATAATAATATACTAACTTGGATGTTATAGTTAATTGATTTAAATAAAACAGAAATGATGGGGATTGGAATTACCTAGGGTTGTATACCTATCTATTTGATGATTTAATATATTAATTTTATTATATTTACCATTGGTCATGAATGAATATATTAATATAATGTCTTACCTGTAGTTAGTATTGAATTTGTTTTTGAGGAGAGGTTAGGAGATGAAAGTCCGCAGAGCGAATGAACTCAGAACGATGAATTATTTCTTAGGTAGTTAAATGACAATAAGACACTTTTTAAATTGAATGAAACAGTTTTGATTGCATATCTCGCAATAAGTAGTAATGGTCTACATAATGAAGTTATGGCTTAGGTTCTAGCTTAGTTAGTGTACTAGCTTTGAACGCAATGCGTTGTATGAGACAGGCGTGGCCGAACAGACTGACTTGTTGCAGGCAGACTGTCTGTGGTAACAAAATTGGGTCCTACTAATATCATTGACCTTTCGTATTCGTTGTGTTATTTCAAATTGTTGTTTATTTGAAAAGGTAATAGGTACAAAATGTGTTATTACTAACGCATATTTTGTCATATTATTTACAGTATGTATTTATACGATTATCTCAAGTGTCATACATATTTTTTGATTATATTAAAGTACATTATACAATTATTTTATTAGGATTTAAGAGTAACATAATTAATAGTATCATGATGATACTAAATAGTGTAGCTTTGTGAATACCATTACAAAGCTGTAAGGTATCAAGTTGATGCCTTACACTATCAAGTATCGATGTTCATAATATATATGTACAATAATTCATCTATCGCAGTTGAAACATTTTTGAATCAGTAGTGAAAAAAGACATATATAAGGATTAAAAAATGTCAAATTAAATAAATTAAATTTTTAAGCTTTTACAATTTGTCATTTAAACCTAAATAATTAAGTTATTTTTCCTTGATCAATTATATAAATTATTGTGTCTTTAATAAAACTTAGAAACCAAAATTTTAATCAGTGACCTGTTTGAAGGGTGTAACGTGCAAGAGACGATGCTACTTGCATTCTATTATATAAAAGCTTCATTATATGTTATTGAAGTTTTTAAGCCACGAGCAAAGAAGTTATTGTTTAGAACAATTGGTTGTATAATAATGTGTTTTTATCCTTCTAGTCCTCAAAAAGTTTTTTCGAGTTTCAGGAATTCTGCGCGGGTCTGTGTTCATGATATTATAATCCTCTCCATAGATTGGGATTTAAACAAGATTGTTAGTATATCGTGAAGAGATAGTATTTCGAATAGTTTTCAAGTAAATTGTGTTAACCTCATAAAAGAACTGTGAAAAAACTTAAATTTATCTACCTACTCTTTGAAACCCTATGTATTTATATTATTTAAATAAACTATGCTAATTGATGAATAAGAATTATTATAGATAATTGAATCTTTGAATAATTGTTTATTGTTTATATTGTTAGAATACAGACAGAGCCTTTAAGATAAATTATTGTAAAGCTGTTAAAAATTGTTTATAAAGCTCAACATACATAATATAAGAATATTGTTTAAATTTTTGATATATTTTAAAATAAATTAGCATTGCTGACCCGAAAAATGAAAACCTGATACTAGCCACTATTTTGCAGTTAGTTCCAGACTGGGTGCCAAGGCACACCAGAGAAATCTTTAGGTATTTTTAATTGTTTTCTTCGTAAGTCACCGATTGCATTATATTGTGATATACTATTACAAATCTAATATTTGTAGGAAGAAAACGATTAAACTGTTGATAGGAAAGATGAATAAATATTTTCATAGTATTGATTCTAAACATTACGAATGGGTTTAAGATCCTTTCATATATCTAATAATGATCGAACATTGCAGTTGAGATTCAAAGAGTATACATTTAATAAGATTTGGTTATATGTTTCTTAAGGATATCCAGAAATATCTAAAAAACAATAACGGACATAAAAAATAAGTAACGAGAAAAAATAATTTTATTAGAGGATGAAATACGGGTATGTCTGTTAACTACTATTCATCCAAGAATTAAAGATATTTGTAATGTGAAGCACGCATTTCTCATTAAAAATGAATATTAGTATTATTATAAAATATTATTAATTATTTTATTTATAATGATTAATATTAAATACAATAGTTTTTATTATTTTGTTTATTACATTTGGTGTAAAAAAAATTAAATAAAGAATTTAAAACATCGATATTAAAAATGTCTAAGGGTAGGACATGTGCTGTAAACATTTTATGAAGAGCACAGTGTGCCGTTATAAATTATAATAGATATAAGTGATATAGCGTACGTAACAACAATGAATATTAAAATATCCATTAATGGTCGTGAAATTTGGCTCTTACACTCTCAAATCAATCTAACTCATAATTTTTGAAATTCTTACCAAGAATTTGCAAGTTGAGTTTTAAAATTTGGAAGTAACTATTTTCAAGACCTAGGTAAATACTTGCAAATACTACTCCAAACTAATAAGGTAATAAAAGGGTGAACTTACAATTTTTCTGATAGACCTGCAAATACTCTCCAATTATTTTCTAAAATTAAATATATGTTAGATTGATTTGAAAGAAAGTAGATGGGCTAACTTAACAATTATGCATTATAATAAGTATTATTTGACTTTTTTATTAAAGCCAATTAAATACGATCGTAGTCTCCTTTCAATACAGAGCTGATGTATCTGAAATTATATAAAAGTATAAAACCAATAATTCAGTATTAAAGAATAATGGAAATACAGTAAATTATTTAATGTAAATATAGGTGGGCACGGGGGAGGCTATTAAAACCTTCTCACCAAAACATTTTGAAGTTCATCAGTTATACAGAGATTAGTATTTTATACAAAACTGCAATAAACCATTAACAAGACAAAAATAATCAAAACATAATATGGAATGCTCTAATAAAATATTTTGTATGGAATATTATGTGTTGTTGTAGTTACATTAATAATAACGTAATTGTATTATATTTTAATTAATTAGACTGACAGTGGCCCTAAGTTTAAGAAGATTTTCGAGGGCACGGCTAATTTGATTCATTTAGTGATTTTCGTGGTGTACTCCTTGGTAATAATGTTTGTCTTCCGATTCTCATGATTTTAAATATTTAAATTTTATTTCAGTTATACGAAATCCAATAAATTAGTTACTGTATAGCTCATTGAGTGCTTTATCAACGTGCGATCGATTCACCAATGTTATTCGTACGTTCTAATATAATTTATATGAATGATAAGAAATTCAAAATATTGAACTTTGCTATACATTTTCTTCATTTTCATTTTCATGACTCAATAATTTTTTTCTGTACTAATTATTTGAATGTTTGATATTATGCCTGACGCCTGTATATATTAATTTATTAGAAGGAATATTTTTATAATACGGCGCTTTGTATAGGCAATATTGGTGCACTCAGTTTTCGCCGCATAATTTTAGTATAATATTATAATCCTATTAACATTTTTATATCAACGTTCTTACGTATTTTTATTTTTTACGGTTGATCATATTATAGTTATCAGTTTTCGAAAAAAAAAAATTGTATTAATGAGTCTTTTATT